ATATGCAGAAGATTAAAGACAGGACTGTGCTGGTACAACTGTAAAACTTTAATAAACAATCAACACATGAAATGATGGCATGATACAGATGTGCAGTATTACACATCATATTACAAGAAACATAGGCTTGTAATAAATATATCAACCTGAGATATTTTCATTCTGCACAGTATAAGAAATAGATGAATATAAATATCACAGAGAAGATCACAGCCCTGAGTTTGACATTGCACTGATTTATTCATTTACCATTGAAATGATGGTGTTTGCATGTATGAAGACATTCAAGCATTTAAAGAAGGATTAAATCATTTTAGTGATTTAGTGCATTAATTCTGCATATTATAAAATCATTAAGTTGCTGTCAGTGTTTAAGGCACAAATGGCTGCAAGTATAAAAAAGCGTACTGGTTTCTAATGTATTCCAAATTAAATAACGCACATGAGACATATACGCGTTAAAATACTGAGTTTAAAGCTGATTGGCAGTTTGACATCCTGCATTTTATCAGGTGGAAGGAGGTACTGTTAGTCAAAAAAGCTTTATTTGGGACGCAATTCTTAACATTAAAATCCATCCATCCATCCATCCATAGAATGAGGTAACACAACAGTGATTGAGCCTATGGACCAGTGATAAAGCCCTTGCATTATTACAAACTGGGCGTCTGTGTGCGACATTTCCAAGAAGAATCCCAAAAGGCGCACGCCGTTTGGGATTTGGGCCCTCTGGGAAGTAAGATGGAAAAACAACTGCAACAACTGAAGTAAGATGGAAAAACAACTGCAATTACCGCTTATTGCCATGGTTGCCGCCAAAGAGAATGAAATTGGGAACTTTGAGATTGTAACTTTCAGCAATAATTAAATCAAAAATAATCAGTGTGTAAACAGATGTGCGAAGCACAAAAGAAACATCAGATTGTACCTTTGACTCTCATCGTTCCCTACCCCGAAAGCGTCAGACAGACTCTCTCTCTGTCTCACTCACACAAACACAAACACACCTCATGGCTTGAAGAGAAGAGGCTGCATCCCGATGAAGGTAAAGTTGTAGTACAGCGGCAGACCCTGGTGGCTGATGTTGCTGAATTTATCCCAAAAGAACGGCGGGAGTCCGTCCTGTGTCGTTGGCCCGTTCACTGCCTCCGCACGGAAGTCCTCAGCCATGTGGAAATCTGTCACCTGGACGGAGAACAACACAGGAACCAGAGAAACTCTGAGCTAAAAGGCATTCGATTCTACAAGTGACCTCTCGTTACTATAATACAAGATCACTGTTGTGACGGGGTGGCACGGTGGTACCTTAGTGTCATAGCAACCTCCTGGAGTAGGCTTCTCTGCTCTCAGGTCGCCACGGCAGCAGATGGTCTTGCAGGGGTCACCCTTGGAGTATGGCTCCTTCTTGTAGTCTGAAAACCAACAGACAAACAACAACAGTAACATTACACATGTGGCCACAAGTCCTCTTCTGGGCTGATAAGTAAATCTTTATTTAAAATGTGGGACCAACATTACTATGACTGACTAGGATTCATGATTACCTGGAGAAGCAAGCTCATTCAGTTAACAAACATGTCAATGTTTGTTTGATCATTGTGACTTAGTTGAAACGGAGAACCAGCTGAATGCGAGTCAGAAAATACCAAAAGCAGACAGAGCCACACACCATTAGACCTCATAATGTGCTTCAAGGAGTCCAGGTCCTTGACATCAGCCTGGTCACGGCGGAAGATCTTGGCTCTGGGACAGAGATCGTAGGAGAAGTCTTCTCCATGCTCCTCCCACATTTCTCCATAACCACTCAGCGTGTAGATCTTGTGGTGGAAAGGAACGTTGTAGGACGGCCAGTAACCTTTGGTTAACGAGGGCAGAAGGAAAGACAAACTCTACAAACGATCACATGAAACAAATACTGTAGAAAAACAGAATAACAAGATCTGTTGTTACCTCTGCGCAGAGCCTGTGTCTGGTCAGAGTACTCCACCAGCCCAGGGATCTGCTCCACCACAGTCAGAGCGCCGTCATCAACACTGTGGCCCAGCTGCACCTTGCTCCTGTCCAACACCATGTACTGGTTGTTGTAGGTGCCTACACAAGCAGAGCCAGAGATGTGGTCTTTTAGCGGCTAATGTCGCCTCGAGCACAGATGAGGACCAGGCTGAAGAGGTCTGGTGAGTTCACTTCTTTCTAACTACAAAATATATAATCACTAACCAGAGTTGTGCATGGAGAATGTTTTTGCCCACTCTTCTCCAGTATGTGCCAAACTGTGAGCCAGCCTGACCCTCTGCCACGCCAGGAGGCTGTTGGGAGTGATTGTGCCAAAGAGGGAGGTGTTAAAGACATCGTTGGTGGTCTGGGTCATCATCAGACCACTGCCCAAGAGGTAGAAGTCATCCAGAGACACAAGGAACCCTGAAGAGGAAGATTAAGCTGAGATACTGACATACTTGACAAAAGTTGTGTGGAAAACTGATTGCAAATCGCTACAATTCCACCATTGTCTTTGTTGAATGATTCTTGCTAAGGAGAATTCCTGGGCCCTTCATACCAGGGTAGCTGCTGAAGGACAGTTTCCCGGTGGCTGTGTGGGGCTCAGTGATGTGGAAATCCCAGTGTTTGTAGATTCGCATTGTAGCAGCGTACGTGTACCAGCTGGAGTGGGCAAACAAGAGGTTCTCAAAGCCGGGCAGCATCTGAGGAGGAAAACAGTGAAGTGTGGAGTTAGACTCCACAGTCAATACGATGTTCCTGTGTCAGCAGAAATGAGTGGAATGTGTGTCGTAAATGTGGCAGTGCTCAACAATGCAGCAAAAAAGATATAGTAATATTTCTGCTATTACTGTTACTAAATATATTTTATGACAGAGGACTCACACTTTCTCTGATACTAAGGCCTGTTTCTTACCCCACACTATACACATTTTCACAAACACAAGAGTGAGTGGGAGTTCTTTGTTTATGTAGCAAACTTTCACTACACACAAATACACGACTGCGTCTCTGGGAACAGAGTGGTGGTCACAGAGGAGCATATAGCACTTTTATAGACTAAATTCTTCACTAATGCAAAGAGAGAGCCTTAAAAGAAGATGCAGGATGACGAATAATATTTTCTCATTCTGCCAATGCACCTGTGTATTTGTTTAGGAAATTAATTTGTAGTTTGTAACTGCTTTTTTATTAAATTTAGCACATTTAAGTCAATCACCTGATTACAGCTGTTGTTTTACTGATATAAAACACATATTGTGCACGGGAGCTTTGAGGAACACCCCTCACTGTACATGTCTTGACCTCTGACCTTGATGAGAGCAGAGCAGTGTCCCATCCCTGGAAGTTTGTAGTTTCTGAGCGGAGGGTTGGAGGTGGGAACTAAGGCTGGGATCAGATCCAGCAGGTCTCCCACTGCATTCAGGAACTGGACGGCAAACAGGGACAGCGGCTATGGGAAGGAGGCCAGATAAACAGCTGTTTGTCAGAAAACGAAAATGAGTAGTAGTGTTGCTTCCATAGTGAGACAGCCACTAATCTAAAAATAAATATCTTACAAAACAAGTGATAAGCTTAAAATGACTGAAACCATGAGCTATTAAGAAACATTTCATACCAAATCTGCACTATCCAAGCTGCAGTTTAACTTTATGACCCAACAACAATCTGTTACCTGGCAGAGCAGTATTTAAAGCCGTTATATGGATCTTAAAGTGGAGTTTATAGTTTCCATAAGATCCAGATTATTCCATTTATATATATTTATTCTTAATTAGGGCACTTCTATGTTTTATCTTTACATATGCATACACTTGAAACCTGAATTTGAACAGTTGCAGTTGATTATTCTGTATTTTCCCATTGATTTACACCTTTTATGTATGTTGTTTAATTGTTTTTGTCTGTCCCCAAAGGGCTTCAATGCTCATAAAAGAGCCTGTTTAAACAAGAGTTAAATTGCAATGATAAGATAATGTTGACATTATGTGCCCTTCTTACCTTTTTCCCCTGTTGCTTGGCCCAGTGTGCGACTCCCGCTTGCAGTCCATCCATCTGAGCCACGATGAAGCCTGCGTGTTTCCACAGAGGATCGGACCTCTTGTTCAGTTTTACCTGCTCTCTGGTCCATGAGTCCTGCTTCCTACAAGCCCAAGAGTGACATTATTCATCATAATTATTCACTGTAAAACATGACCAAAAGCTCTGCAGATACATGTCAATGAGCTGACTTGAAAACAATCCAAAGTTACTTAAACAAACAACAATATTGTCTCTGTTCTCCTTTTCCTGCTGAATTTGACTGTAATCATTTTCAGGAATGAACTACATTAAACTCGGGTCAAGAGCAGGCGAATGCATCACAGAAATCTAACAGAGCTTAAAGATCTGGCCACAGTCTGAGCTGAACTGAACAATTCTGAAATGAGGATGTGAGAGATTGTGACAGTACTGTGGGACTCAGATTCTACTGTATATAAATTACTACTGTATATAAATTGTTTGGTAATACTAATACTAATACTAATAATACTGTATATAAATGTTGATACTGTGTATTCTACTGTATGTGACTGCGGTGCTGCTGCTGTGGTTTTAATGTTTTAAAGGAAAACAAAACAGACTCACGTCATGAAACTCTGAACTGGGCCGAGGATCTTTGGGTCGTGGATCAGCTGCGGATACATGTTGGTATAGTGGTCCATCATCTGCCTGGGGAGAAAGAATATGCATGAATACCCAAATAATGTAATCAGAATGAAAGAAATACAGTATTTACAATGTTACAACCATGTTATTGATAATGTTTGATTAGTCAGTAGTTTATTATCGCTAGGATTTATATTTTTACTGCATTGTGAGGGAGGCTGGTGGGGGCTGTCTATCATTTCTTAATTGTTACAGAAGGTGATGAAGGTCAAAGCTCATCAAAGTTTCTTATCTCCAAGTTTCTAATCAGACGTATATATGATCAACATACTAACCAACCAATCACCAATTTGATTACTGATATTTGTTTCGTTTTAATAATCAGATGTTGAGGTAGAAGCATGAACTCATGATGAGGACTCGAGAGGAAAAGAGAGCGTGACAGCACATTCATCACACTTACTGGGCAGTGAGGAAGCCTTCGAGGTAGCCAGCCAGGAAGAAAGTCACCTCATCAGTTTCAGGGGTCTGCCCATACCCGGCACGGATCTCCAGGACGCTCCAGCCTGTACTCGAGAGGGTATCATTCAGATAACCGTAGGCATCCCCTTCCGTCTCCAGCACCCCTTCCTTCAGCAGGACAACCTTGTGTTGAGGGTCCCAGTACACCGTGGCTGCTGTCATCTCTGAGAATAAATCATACACCAGTAAGAGGACATGAATAAAACAAAATGGCTATACAAGGTCATGTAGACTGATGGCTGTAAAACAAAATATTAATTTGGGGATATTGACTCCTAGAATCACAAGACTAGATGTCCCATTCACTAAAAATATCCCACCCTGCATGTCTGAATTGTGTCCTTCTCTTCTTTCATAGTCTAAATGTTTCTACATTTGCTTATATTACAATTGATTTAAATACATAAACCAAAATGAAGGTTAAAACTAAACATGGCAGTGGAAGGAGCCCTCGTGAGTGTGGGGATTACCCTGTATGTAAGGTTAAATGGCTCAAGAAAACAGGCTATTCAGTTCATTTCAGAATCATAATAGTTGACAGCGAGTCAGTCAAATTTATACAGAAGTGCATGCATGCTTACAGCGAACCACATTTTGTTAAATCCTGAATCGATCCTGAAGCAACAACCCGTGATTTCATACAGACGTGGCTTACTTACTGTCCGGAGAGGCGAATGTCGTAGCCACAATAAATAACAGAAGGACATAAAGCCTCTTTGGTAAACGCATTGTTGTGTTAATGCCGTTTAAAGCTAATCTAACTGCAGAATAGAGACGCGGATCAGTCACAAATAGCTCAAGGCGAAGAGAAAATCTGACATATTGCGGAAGTCCGAGTAAACCTGAGTGAGCGGAGCGTTTCCTCATTGGCTGCTGAGCGGAGGGAACGGGAACAACGTAATATGTCCTTGAAATAGAAAATGACAGACAGCGCTAAGTATCATAAGCAATGGAAATAGTTCAAAACCATTTCTGCCTATTTTATTATTTTTCCACAATAAAGAAAAGACTCACCCCAGACGGGACTCGAACCCACAATCCCTGGCTTAGGAGGCCAGTGCCTTATCCATTAGGCCACTGGGGCTTGGCGGCAATCCCAACACACCACGTACATACTTATACGCATCCATATGCATAACATTACTTGCGTTACAAATTGTAACTCTCTGGAAATGGCTACTGGCTTTTTTATGGTACAACCCGATAAATAACATTCTACATTTCAGCCAATAAGCTGTTACGTTAGGTGACTAAGGACCGAGCTGTGTAAGATGACACAGTAGCTCTTTCTGATTCATTACGTTCCAGTTATTGAGTAAAAGACAACACGAACGATATGTTTTTTTTAATTCAACACATAGTGTAGTCGTTGATGACTGCAGGACAGTGTGGTGCCTCCCCCTAGTGTTCCCAATAGTAAATCATGACAATGCACAAAATCATCTTATCCCCTGAAGGCAACGAGAAGCCACAGAAGAGAATTATATTGACTATAAAATAGAATCCAATCTTCTAATTAAAAGCTTTTAAATATATATTGACAAAAAGAATAAATAAAGTGGAAATGACAATAACAAATAAAACAGTTGATACACCCTTTCCCTTTGTACACAGTTATTTACATGTAGTGTTTCATCATCTATGACTTCCACACAGCGGTAAAGCTCTGTGAGTCCATTACCTTTCTCCTCCTCAACAGAAACACTACCATTGGTGGAATGAAAGAAAACAAACGTGCTGTTGACGAGGAGAGCAATTGAGGTGTGTTGCAAGAGAGTTAGAAAAAAAATAAACACATTTTGACTTGAAACGTGCAGTAAAAGCAGGTGAAACAGATTAAAAAATAGACTTTGGTTGTGAAGCTTTTCAGAGCTCGACACAAATTGCAGACTCTCCCTTGTGAAACAACTAAAGATGTGCTCAGAAGAATAGAAAAGAAAAGAGGACAAAGGAATGTAACAGCTTCATGTAACAAACTTCATTCAGTCTTCATCTTCAGCAATACCGTCAGATGTTGTATCCAGTAGTGTCATTTGTCATGTTTGTTAAGCTGAGGAGAAAGTGTCACTTAACATTCACCACAAAATATCATTTTTGGTGGCTGAATAAATCCCTGTCCAAAAAATGACAAGTTTGTAGCAAAGAAAATAACAAAAAACAAAAGTTAATATCAAGATATAACTTTAACAATCCACAATATGCACATTGACACGCAGCCCCGGCCCACCAGGCTTCATTAAGAGCTAAGAAGGCACACCTCATAATCTCATCACCTCACGATCACACAAATCCTGTTCTGCCACATCAAAACCCCTCCATAGCGTTCAGATTGAGCCGACAGTCAGAAGTATGGTGAAATAATCACAAAGCTGTTGATTTTAGAGTATCCAAAAAGACAGAAACACCACGAAAACACGAACATACAGCATTATAGCAGCAACCTTTAGTAGTATTCACCATTTAAACTGCTTTACTCCACTGCAAAGACCGCTGCTTGGTGAGTGCATTGACATTAGATGCAAGTGAAGAACAGTTATGTTAGAGGGGTGGACTTCATCTCACACAACACGCACACGCGCACGCACACACACACACACACACACACACACACACACACACACACACACACGCTAGCTCGCTCACTGTCATTCGTCATCGATCAGTTTCTCAGCGCCATTCTCTGCTCGTCTCTCTGTGCCGCTCCCTCCTTCCTCTCCTCCCTCCCCCTCCTCCTCATCATCATCCCCGGCGTAGGACAACGACTGGCTGCCGTAGTTGATGGTGGTGCGGGAGAGGTCCACTTCAATGGGGAAGACATCCGCCTCCTTCAGGACGGCGTAGCACTCGTCGTAGTAATGGGACATGCCTGAGACGAAGCGCTGCAGCTGGAACACAATGTCCTGGACTGCAGGTGAAGAAGAGAGGAGGGACAAGAGAGGATCATCTATGTTAATCAGTGAACAACTAACACTGTTAAAATGTGCTTAACATGGCGAGTGAGTGACAGACATTTCTGTTGAACAGAGAGAAACCGATCAGACAGATGTCACGGTGTACCACTAGTGCCAGTTTACAATCGACTGAGAAGGTGAATGGAAAAAAGCCCAACAACAACAACAACAGACCGTGTTTCTGGTCCAGCAGCTCTATCTTCTCCAGAACGTCCTTCCTCATTTTGGCAAAGCGGGCGCGAGCCTCCTGCCGACACCGCAGCACCAAACGGTATTCATAGTTACCGGTGCTGACCCGGTACAGGGGCTCTCCCATGGCCTGTAGGAAGAAGCCCACCAATCACTGCTTCGGATGATACGAGTACAAGACTCCTCCGAGAGACGTGAAGCAACACATTTATATAAATGGTAACCCCTTAAATCTTGTGTATAGAATGAAAACGAGAACTCACAATACTGCTGTATTCTTCATCATCCATCTCCTTCACCTTCAGGCAGTATGACTGAAACACACAAAGAATCCATTCCGTCTGTCTGTAGACCGATCGTGAGCTACATCGGTCAGATTTACAAGTGATGACACCGTGTTGTGCATCGCACTGGAACCAAAAGGCACAGAGTGCTGCTGCCTTACCAGATATTCAAACTTCACATCCAGGTACTTGCGGATGGTGAGCTTCGTGTCGGGTATGGCCTTGTGAAGGTACGTGTTCAGATCGTGGAGCATCTGCACAACGAGACGTCAGACAGACCATTCAGTGATGTTGGATTAACTGCAGACATCCTCACAAACAACTTCACAATGGTTTCAAAGTCAAACTTGAATCCGTACTCACAGGTTTGATTGTCTTTAGCAGCTGAATACCGTATTTCTCAATGTTGCGGTGAGCGTCAGCAAATTTCACAAAAGCCTCGCTGGCTGCAGCTTGAGGCTCTCGCACCCCGATGACCGAGAAGACGTCACCAAACGCTGGAGGGGTAGAATTTAGAATACAGACACATCAGACACTGAAGCTCAGACAGATTGAGATCTGTTAAGAGGATCTGGTTTGTGCTTTTCTTCTTTGCTTGAGTTTGATTTTGAACACAGGAACTCACCTCTGTGAGTTTGAGAAAGCTCAAAGAAAGCTCTGAGCAGTCTCTTCGTGTGCTCCATCAGCCCTACGAGCAAACACAAGAATGAAGCATTGGTTTGAACAAACAGGAACAGGTGACTCTTTACAGGAACTCACTTTGACACAGTGCATCTGATTAAAACGCCACATGAACAGTCACCTTACTGATCACACTAAACTACAACACTTCAGTTCACCGAAGGCCAGTTTTGTAATTTGATTATTCTTCACCTTTGTAGAGCTCTGCTGTTTTCTCCAGCTCCTCCAGTCTCTTGACCAGTCCATCTGTAGAGTAAATCCACGGGAGTTGAGCTTCATATCGATCCACATAAATGCACTAATACATATACAGCATGCTCATAATAATAATAATAATAATAATAATCTCACCGTTGCATAGAATAGCCCTACTGAGTCCAAGAGCATCTGCTGTGCCTGAGCTCATATTCTCTACCAGGCGATGTTTGACTTTTTTCAGCACTGGAAGACACAGCGAACGTGTTCAACGGACACAAACAGCACTGAGTAAAAGTTACTGTGATGAAGGAAGAAGGCTATTCACAGCATTACAATACATAACCCTCATGCAGTAACATGAACGGACTGAATCACGACTAATAGAGGAGATACCTATATCCAGCGACTTCCCCTGTTTGGGGTCCGCCTGCAGTTTGTTGTAGTGGATTACTGCTTCTTCCTGTGAAAATCAACAACACAAAACGTACATATTTAAAAGTAGACCATCTCTAGAGGACAAACTGTATCTGCCATTCATTTAGTCTTATAAAATCTAAAAATGAACCTTTAAAATGCAATATGTTATCTTCTTATAGGAGGTCAAATTGATAATGTGCAAACTTTTCCAGCTTCATAGTGCCGAAGGTGAAGTTCATATTGCACATTCATTTGCCCTGAATGGGAAACAGCAACACATTCTGATCCTTTAAATCCCACGTTGCACCTCGTCTTTAATCCATCATGCAGTCGTGTCCAGTCATGGAATTTTCTGGGTGCGAACAATGGATGCCTAAATAAACACAGACACCCTGCACTGGTGACGTTATACTAAACGCGATGGGCTATTGTCCCGACCCCTGCAGCACCGCTTGCCGAGCCAGTAAAGTCCCTCTTTTCCAGTTTGATGGCGAGGTTGCATCCACAATCTGTAAACTTTCGGACTATTCGCTGATAAATCTTCGGCCCAGGTGGGACGCAGAAATGTAAGTAATGTCCGATTCCTTTTGCGTGTTTCTATTCATCTCCATATGTGCTTGAATTTGACTTTTGAACTCATTAAAAAGGTGGTCATTAGTGGTGTGGAGTTATTATTATAAATCTAGATTGTATATCCAAAACATCGTAGAAGAAGTAAGTAATAAGCCATCTGAGCATTTCCTGGTGGGAATCCATCCCCAGTATTTGTGTACCTGCACAGCTTGAATCATCTTTGCCACCTCCACTTTGGTCTTTCCCTTCACTGGTTTCCCGTTCACGCCTGTGATTTCATCCCCTGCTGCCAGTGTCCCATCCAGAGCTGCTGGTGTGTTATCAAAGACCTGTAAGACACCAGAAACCACATTAAAACAGGTACCAATGACACAGAAACACTGTATGTTCTTACATTTTATACTTTAGTGAATTGTTCAGATCAATTGTTCTGTATATACCTGAACAATGTAGAGACAAGGGCAGTACTGTGCCCCACCACCAATGCTGATGCCAATAAGGTTATTGGCATCTTTCTTCAAACACACAGTACCAGGTACTGTTGGTATCCCCCTGATGAGGACACACACGATACTTTGAGATTTGTAGCATTTAGTTGATCCTGGTTTTGCATTTTAATAAGTTCAACCTTGTAGTATAAAATCCTACAAGTTCATAAACATTTAGTTCAATAATGAGAGGAAAGTTCAATCAGGACTCAGGCTCAGCTTCTGTTTTAAGGGTTTAGTGATATCTCAGTCTCAACATGGTTTGATTAGTCAGTGACTGTCCCACAGTCTAAACTGAAGATTTAAAAATTGACACACTGAAACATAACTGAATAGCGCAGATCATAAAAAGGGGAAACATAATTGGGACTCACAGTTTGTCCTCCTCCAATTCATAATCCATGTCTGTGAACATTACAGGAAAGTGTCAATCCTGTCGCTGTGAACCTGTGAGTGATGAACACACATCACGTTAAATACTGTGAGACTGTATTAAGACAGACACAACAAGACAGGTTTATGTTAATTTGCTTGCTCAGTTTGGGCTAAAACTACAACAGGTGATTTAAAGTGAGCTCATGTTGGCGGAGAATACAATACAAGTATCAACTGGAATTGATCCCATAATAAGACAGATGATCCCACTGATGTCAGAGCTGTCGGTGAAACACGCTAACGTAGCTGCTGCAGCATCTGGACGAACAGCTGCTTACTTTCAGTGCATGCTAACTAAAGCTACCCGATGTTGCCCAGTTAAATGAGTCTCAACGTGCAACACGTACAACAATCAAGGCGGTTTGACGACTGATATATTTCTTTGTAGTGACGGAAAGTAACAGAAAAAAGGCTTACTAACGTTACAGTAGCTAGAACATTAGCAGCTAACGTAACGTTAGACTATTTGGAAGTGGAATAGCAAACATATGCCGAAAACGATTTACCTTTGTTTGACTTCGCACCAGTTTCGCGTACAAATGTCACTTAGTATGTAAACAAAGCGCAATGTATTTTTTAAATCGCTCCCTTTAGTCGCAATTATCCTAATTTCTGTATCCACTTGCAGCTCCTCTGTTTACTTTATTTTGTCACTTCCGGCAGAATAGCGGAAGTTGTTGTAGAGAAAGATAATTTTTTTAGTCGGAATACAAGAGATATTTATACCTGTATCTATATTTTTCTGGATTGGTATAAACGTTGTTATCAACCAATATTAAGCCCATGTTATTCCTTCAAAGAAAGTCTTCAATGTATAATCCTGGGGTTTTACTGCCCTCCAGTGGTCACAGTCGGCAACTGCAGCATTTTAATTTAGTCAAGCTAGCGTCAATATACAGACATAATACCACACTACCACTTCCGGTAGTACTTTCAAATTCCAGTGCCTAAACTGAAGCCATCCGAAATGAAATAACAGTGTTCACAAAATATTAATGTATATCATAAAATACATTTAAAAGAGTCGTTCTGACGAGCAAGGCGGTTGTCACGTGACCGACGTGGGTACACAAGCTAGCACTGCTACTGCTAGCAAGCCCTTTAGTTTGTTTTTTGCAGAACTGATATTCTTTTGGCAGAGTCAACAAAAACACGTTAACATTCAATAGCTTCCATTTTAATGTATTTGCAGTTCCACACTACTTGAAAACGACCACTAATAAATTACATATACATACACAGTTGTGTGAAAAAGTGTTTGCCCCCTTCCTGATTTCTTATTTTTTTGCATGTTTGTCACACTTAAATGTTTCAGATCATCAAACAAATTTAAATATTAGACAAAGATAACACAAGTAAACACAAAATGCAGTTTTTAAATGAAGGTTTTTATTATTAAGGGTGAAAAAAAAAAATCCAAACCTACATGGCCCTGTGTGAAAAAGTGATTGCCCCCTAAACCTAATAACTGGTTGGGCCACCCTTAGCAGCAACAACTGCAATCAAGCGTTTGCGATAACTGGCAATGAGTCTTTTACAGCGCTGTAGAGGAATTTTGGCCCACTCATCTTTGTAGAATTGTTGTAATTCAGCCACATTGGAAGGTTTTCGAGCATGAACCGCCTTTTTAAGGTCATGCCACAGCATCTCAATCGGATTCAGGTCAGGACTTTGACTAGGCCACTCCAAAGTCTTCATTTTGTTTTTCTTAAGCCATTCAGAGGTGGACTTGCTGGTGTGTTTTGGATGATTGTCCTGCTGCAGAACCCAAGTGCGCTTCAGCTTGACGTCACGAACAGGTGGCCGGACATTCTCCTTCAGGATTTTTTGGTAGACATCAGAATTCATGGTTCCATTTACCACAGCAAGTCTTCCAGGTCCTGAAGCAGCAAAACAGCCCCAGACCATCACACTACCACCACCATATTTTACTGTTGGTATGATGTTCCTTTTCTGAAATGCCGTGTTACTTTCACGCCAGATGTAATGGGACATACACCTTCCAAAAGTTCAACTTTTGTCTCGTCAGTCCACAGAGTATTTTCCCAAAAGTCTTGGGGATCATCAAGATGTTTTCTGGCAAAACTGAGACGAGCCTTTATGTTCTTTTTGCTCAGCAGTGGTTTTCGTCTTGGAACTCTGCCATGCAGGCCATTTTTGCCCAGTCTCTTTCTTATGGTGGAGTCATGAACACTGACCTTAATTGAGGCAAGTGAGGCCTGCAGTTCTTTGGATGTTGTTCTGGGGTCTTTTGTGACCTCTTGGATGAGTCGTCGCTGCGCTCTTGGGGTAATTTTGGTCGGCCGGCCACTCCTGGGAAGGTTCACCACTGTTCCATGTTTTCACCATTTGTGGATAATGGCTCTCACTGTGGTTCGCTGGAGTCCCAAAGCTTTAGAAATGGCTTTGTAACCTTTTCCAGACTGATAGATCTCAATTACTTTGTTTCTCATTTGTTCCTGAATTTCTTTGGATCGCAGCATGATGTCTAGCTTTTGAGGATCTTTTGGTCTACCTCACTTTGTCAGGCAGGTCCTATTTAAGTGACTTCTTGATTGAGAACAGGTGTGGCAGTAATCAGGCCTGGGTGTGGCTAGAGAAATTGAACTCAGCTTTCCAAAGATGTGATAAACCAGTTAATTTATGTTTTAACAGGGGGGCAATCACTTTTTCACACAGGCAGATACTTTCAAAGGAAAGTCATCTCCACCTAGTGTCCACTACGACCTGCAAGACGATGGTCCCATATGGAGGCAGCCGTAGCTAGTTTTCGATCCCTTGCTAACTATGCTAAGTCATTTATACCCATTTGGGCAAACACAAACGTATATGATTCCAAATACACTCGATTTAACCTCTATCTCCACTTTGTTTCAAGGCAGCATTTAGAGTAGAGCAAACGTACTTGGCAATAAACTGTTTCTGATTCAGAATTGTGGTAGAACTGCAAGAAATTAATAAAGACAACGTCATTGCAGACATAGCAGCATACTACAACTTCCGGTATGTGCTTTCAAAATAAAGTGGCCAAACTGAAGCATCTAGAAAAGATAACATAAATCAATCGTCTTCGTAGCTACAGTTCATAAAGTCCATAAGGGAAATTACGACGAGCAAGGTGGTCATGTGACAATGTTACTGATAAGTAGCACAATTATTATTTTACTGTAACAGTTACCACATTTTCACACTGTGATAACTTGAGGTCCAGGATTGTTTCATGATTGATAACCATGTCCACCAATACACATGATCCGTATTGATATCTGTGTTATTCTCACTGATGAATATATGGAGTTTGAGTTTTAAATTGTAATAACTATACAACTATTATAGCATACAATAATAGATTATTGTAACTGACAGTTTGGCCCCTATATTTTGAAAGTATTTACAAGAAGTGTTATTTTGTCAGCTTTGACGCTGATTAAATTATTTTAACATGTGACCTGGAGGGCAGTAAAGCCACCAAACCATTAGCACAGATCACATTTGTATAAGGGACAGTGCAAAAGTTATTGGGGTGGAGAGGAGCTGCATCTTTTATTTCATTTAATAAAAAGCGACCCTTATATTTTCGTGACACTCTACCTGACAACCGAACTTCCAGACATTTGAATTACGAAGCTTACCGTTACATCAAAACACACATTGACACCATCACCGAGTCACAGACGCATCTTTAAAATAAAGAATACATATAAATTATATTAGCTTTTCTGTCGCCTGTATATGGCTGCAGTTTATCGCTTGTTTTGGAGCAGCAGCGGGAGACGCGGAGTGAACTTTTTCTTACGGAGAGCTGAGCCAAAAGCACCGGCAAAATATGAAAAGAAGTTTATCAGTAAAGCTGCTGCTCACCGACGTGCAGCACTGCTCACCGACGTGCAGCACTGCTCA